GGCTAAAGGGTTCTACAGGAAGCGAAGGAGCTAAAAGAACTAAAGAAACTTAAAGAAGCTAAAGCATTGTAACAGATTTAAATGGTGTGTAAGCGTAAAATTAAAACTGGATAAATTTAATTTGTCGTGGACCTATGCCAAACCCACACCCATACATGTGTACAGAGACTACCCAGGCATATCAAGTCATATTCATTAAAACTTGGTAAGTTTTCATACATAAATTTTCCAGAAATCTCGATTATGAATCTTATTTGAGAATTCATCGAAACTTCTTGTACAAGGTGCGCATTTTTATGCTCTTCCGACCAATTTTTTTCTAAAAAACAAAAAAAAGTTTTTTTTCTCAAAAAACTTCGACGATGATTAATCATGCACAACTGCACAACTTAATAAGTGATAAACTTAATATATTGCGAATCAAAAGACTAAAAGGAGAGCTATCTCATATAAATCGTTTCAACATGTTTCATAGCATTTATTCATGCACATTTGTTGACATTAGTTCAAATTTTCTTTCAGAGCACATTTTGCAATAAGTTTCTTAAGTTTTTCCAATCACCAAATTTTTTTCCATCTAAAATAGCTACTGAAAGTTTTATTTGACTTTTAACTTAATACTGAGAGAACTGAATTGTTTAACAATGTGGTAGAGATCTTGTCTAAACGGATGAACGACAAGCTCCTAGTTGAAAGTTTTTCTATATCATGTTTCGATTATGAAGCAAAACTGATATCACATTGCAGAACATTCGCAAGATTTAGGTCAAATAATAGATAAATAGCTAAAGAAATTCTGTTTAAGAAAAATGTGCAATCATTAGAAGATAGAAAATATGTCGGAAAAATAGATTTGACAAGATCTTTAAATAGGATAAATATTTGTTCTAGTTGCCTCTGATTTAGTAATGATTATCATATAAGACATTTGATTTTATCTTGTCTTCGCGAACAAATTACACATATAAATCTTGAAAAAAATTCAAAACTATTTTAATATATAGCTGGCAACATTTTTCGAATGAATAGTACAGCAATTGATAAATAACAAGAATGGCAAAAACAATCATTGTACTATTTAGGCTTCAACGCCTCCGTCTCAAGAGATGACGTGAAAAAATTCGTAGTTGTGCAATAGCATTTATAATTCGATTCTAGTTGAAAGAGAAAATTTATGATTTATCCGAAGGAAGTGCATGACTGCAGGTCATCCTAGGAAAATCGACAGGTAGCTTCCTAGAAATTGGATATTCATCGAAGTATAAATAAATAGTTAATGCATTGCTACACAAGAACAACACTTGCAACCAAAATTAAACATGGCATATCTACAGCATAACCAATACGGTTTTAAAGACACGTCTGTCGATGCCAATGTTCCAAATAACGACGTAGCCCGTCTCATGTATTATTTAAATTGTGTGTGCAGTGCTATTCAGTATAATGATTCAGATCTTAGCCGCTTTCGCAATTATCGAAACTGGTCATCTTTATCTTCTGAAGATATACGCCTTCTATTAGTTCTTTGTTTAACTCTAAACCCCGATCTATTGGATGATAAAGTTTTCTTTTATTCGGATGCTTTATGTGGTGATAGTCCCAATAGATTTTTTGAAATTAGTCAAGTACGTAATCAACTATTGGCTGCACAATCAATTGTTATTGCCGGTAGAACATGTCGAGTCACCAAAATTATGACATATAAGATGTCTTGGATGCAGAATAATTACCTAAATCCACTTCAACGACTCACTCAACAATGCAGACCAAGAACAGCACGTACATCGACTTGTATTATATCCTAAAGAATCGACGAGCGTCTATAGAAAATAGGACTAAAACGAAAACATTTAATCTTAGTTGCAAGATAATTTCTTCTCGTAATATTGGCAAAGTGTTTAAATAAAGAATGTTTCATAACTTTCTTTTCCATTTCCATTATTTTTCATCTTTTTGGAGTTTCGAAAAATCGACCGCTATTCAATTGAAATCGTTCAGAAATAAGGTGTTGGTGAGGCTGTCAGTGTAGGGATGTGTGGTGTGGGTGGGTGTGGGTGGATGTGGGTGGGTGTGGGTATGGTTGTGAGTGTGGGTGTAATTTAAGAAAAGAGCAAAGCTCCCACCCACGTCCACCTCCACACCTACCCACACCCACAGCCACCCACACCAAAACCTACCACACCCACAGCCATCCACACCCACACCTACCCACACCCACCCACCCACACCCACACCTACTCACACCCACACCCACCCACACCCACACCCTCCGTTACGTCGAGTTTTGCTCGTTATTTTTCTGAGAAAAATCTAAAAGGTTTGTTTTGTTTAATTTTTCTTTTTCATCTTTCAGTTATCCTGAAAGTGATCGCGTATTTAATAAAAAAAAGAACAACCGAATAACTTAATTTCGTGTCATTTTCTTCTCATAACTATGTTTGTATTTCGTGCTTTTGTCCCCGAGAGAAACGGAAAGGGTAGATTTGTTTTCATTGTCTTGGTTTAATTATCCTAAAAGTTCTTTTACATTTTATAATGGAAGCTGAATTAGAAAACTAACCTTACTTTTTCTTCTTCATTTAGTTATTCTGTTACTTCTAATCTTTTTAAATAACCACCACAATATGAAAAACTTAATAAAAATACTTTCGTGAAAGGTTTTTAACCCCCATCAACATCTGTAAAATAAGAGTAAATGATTATAACAGTTGTTAAAGACACTCTTAATGACTAGATCTCAATTTCTAACGTAAAGTTGTACTATTGTCAATTGTTGGAACATGAGAAAAAAAACTTTGTATCTTTTGATAGTTAATGATTAACAATGATATGGGACGAAATCCTCATGCATGTAGGTTATTTTAAAAAAGTCTTGGTAGTGGTCATATTATGCGTCGAATCCAACTGATTTTTATTTTCAGTAAGGAAAAGAAAAATTTTAAAACTAAATTTGAATATTTTAGAAGTAGGATCTATCGAGACGTCTTCTACTTGGATCAAGTTTGCCAGTCGTCAGTCATCAAAAGTTAGATATCTATTGTATTTTCAGGCTGTCTGCTCATTTATCAAGATCTTGAACAGAGAACAGAATTAAACGAAGATGAAATTGCGACATATATATATATAACAGGTGTTTTTAGCGTTTAAATAGCTTCAATAATCAAATCATTTTCTTGTGAAAAATAATATTATTGTACAGTTCGACGTTAGCATTGGAAATTGAGTCATTATGAATATCTCAGATTATTGTTACAATCATTTGAATATCTCCAAAATTATTTTCCGAGATCCTAAATTCTCAAAACAACATATACATAGATATAAACTCTTGTTCAATTATATCAATGCTATAAATTATGTTGCGAAATGTAATATACTATTAGGAGAAATAAGTATAGTTGATGAAGGAAATAAAAACGAAAAACCATACCAGACTAACACTTTTCATAATAACTAGAAACAGATTTTGTCATCAAAAAAGATCAAACATGAACATTATATATTAGCAAATATTGATAGAAATGTTCTTAATATTTTCGCGTATATGACTTAGCAGAATCTAAAAGTATTGGTAAAAAACTATAAAAATAAAACAGAATTTTTCTACTAGAAGCAATAGAGGTGATAGTATTGTTCAAGATTGTAGTTACTAATCCTTTGACCAAGTGATGTGTTTTTTGTATGAAAATTTCATCTCAGATGACACTAGAGCAGTTAATATAATTAACGAGAAGAGACAGTGAATGGATAAAATTTTACCTTTAATAAAAGCAAACATATTATTTACTCTTTTATTTGTAATCTCAATCATATAGTTTTTCCTTTGTCGTTCTATTTGTTTGTATTAACAGTTCGATCCATACCCATGAGGATCGTTTTTGTATATTATGTTATTGTTGATTTTTGTTTTCCTGCTACTCTTGAATCAACCTGCTGAATCTTGAATTCGCTTCGATATAGTACGTTCTGGATCTGAGCTGCATACATACCATCTATGTGGCATTTCACATAAATAGATAAGCATTATATTATGAATAATATTAATAGAAATGTAAGAAATAGTTAAAATATGCATCATTTTCACCGTTTCTAGTGCGTTGTACAACATTACAAAAATGTTATTATCGTTATGCAAAGATTGAAATAAAATCAGGTAAAGTATTAACGATATCATAATACTTTATAATAGACTTTTTTCTCTTAATATAGCATAATCAATTTCTGATTTGTTTCATTCCATCACATGTATACTATAGGAATAGTTATGAATGAAATTGAGCATGCAGTAAATTCAATTCATGAAATATTGAAATCACTATCACAGCATCCGCTTTCATACCGTAACAGGTATCAAATAGTCGATATTCTTGACATTCTGATTCCATTTATTAATTTGAATTCACCAAGAAAAGAATGAACTCGATTGATTTGTCGACAGTTAAACCGATTGACGAATTATAATCATTTAATCTCAAGCAAAATTTGGACTCAATCTCATGACGACATCCTTTATGTACAAGACGAAATAAATGGCGAACAAAGTATGGGTAGGAGTTGGAATCATTTTAACAGAATGATAAATTTTGAAAGAGAACTAGAGCACCGTGAGTCACGATTTCACCAGAAAATAAAAGAACAAAAAAGTTTGAATCAACTATTTTATGAACATCAGGAGTTTTTCAAAGAATATCTTCAAAAATGTATTTCTTTTCATTCAAAAATGAAGGTGCAATGTCTGATAGAGAATATCGATGATTTTCTTTTTTGAAATTTATGGACTAACAAAAGTTTCTGTCACTTCAGAAAGCCAAAAACATCTTAAGGAAAAACTACAATGTATTGAGATATATTTCAATTGTTCGAATAGATCATTCGAAAATTTGAGGTCTCGATTTTCTACAAATGATAATGCATATACGAGAGTCAATAACAATCTCAGTATCTTTCTACTTTCAATCGAACACATAGAAATAAATAAAAGCCATAAATCCGAGCAAATTATGGATATACTCCGACATAATCGATGGATTGTCATATTGGGTGACCTAGGTAGTTCAAAAACTACTCTCCTTCGATGGATTACATTTATTTTTGCTGAATTAGCTCTTAATGGTCATGAAAAACTAGTTTTAGAAGGAGAGGATTGCATTCCAGTTCGTATTCCTATTTTGGTTCGCATCGGTGAATTTGCAACGTGGCTTAAGCAATATCCAACAAAGACATTAATAGATTATATGGGAGAGCATACATGGGATTCAAAACGTTATTGTCATGATGACAATAAAAATGTGTTGAAAGAGTTGATAGATGATGGTCATACTTTGATCCTTCTAGATGGGCTTGATGAGATTACTGAAGTTGGACAAAAAGGAGAAATTGTTGATCTTGTTAGAAAATTTGTTGATGAATATGCACGTGGACCTGATTTTATCTCAGCATTTGATGACAGAATGTTTCACGGAACATCAGTAGATTATTGTTGTCATAAAATTGTTGAAACACAACCACCGAGTATACCTGGTGGTAATCAGATAATTATTACGAGTCGTATTATCGGCTATCAACTGTATCCACTTGTTGGTACCTTCATCTGTCATTATGCATTTTTATTAATGAATTATAATGAAGCAAAGGAATTTGTGAAAAAATAGTTGTCCCAAATTGAAAAAAGTATACTTGAAATTTTGTTGAATGAAGGTATTAATCTTGACCGAAAATTAGTGAAAGTTCTATCAACAAGACGATATAATGTTGTGAAAACATTGCTTGTAAACAATTCAGAATAATCATCAAATCCTTCTTTGTTATCTTTGATTTACACATTTATTTTTCAATCACTTGACAAATTTAATCCTAAATCTCGAGTCGAAGTTTATAATCATGCTGTTCAAGTAGCATTACATTCTTGGAAAAGTCATGAATTGAATATTCCGGAGAGAGTACTAACTAATTTTTTGATCGATCTTGCTTGTTATCTTCATTTAAATTCATCATCTGGTCTTATAGATGAGTTTGATATAAAACAGTTATGCTATTTAATCTTACAACAACAAGGTCTATCATGTAATCATAAAATATTACGTGAATATGTTCATAAGTTGACATCTTTACTTGATTATAACATTGGTATTTTTGCTGAACGAGGTTTACAAATATATGAATTTCTTCATTTATCATTTCAAGATTATTTTGTTGCACGTTCGCTTGTAAAAGGTTCACCCGATGAGGTTGCAAAACGTATTCTTACAATCACTATTTATCCTCGTTTTCATGAATCACTTCTTATCGCTATTGGTTGGATTAGTTGGAAATGGTCATTTGATGATTATGACATGTTTTGCAATTTACTTGTTACTTCACCTACACAATATTCAATTCCATTTGGAACAATTCTTTTTTTTTTAATGCTTTCAATGATATACAAAGATTACCTTCAAACTCAGTCATCTTTATTACACTTAGTAATATACTTGATCATCCATATTATCCAAGTAAAACGACATATTTAATATCAAATCTATTGAAATTACATGAAAATATTATAATAGAATGGATGCAAACACAATTGAAAGATGAAAAACGACTTTCTAATTTTTGTCAATGTTTATTGCAGAATGTTAAGGAATTTAATGATAAAATTCAAACCAATCAGAAATCAATACCATCTGCTGTTTATCAAGAACTGTGGTTGTTACACAATATTAGTACATCAGCTGAACTGATTATCGATCAAACCTTACGAATAATAATGAGATCAGCTAAAAATGTCTGATCAGATCTTTAACAAAGATTTTTCTTTCTATTTATTGTCACACGACATTTCTATATCTAATATTCACCCTTTGATTATTTCTGTCATTATTGCAGTACGTGATGGAGTATGCCTTAGAGATGAGGCAGGAATAATTAAGATTGACTTTTCAATACAACAGATACATCGTCAATCTTCAATCTTAACACCAATTATTGAATATTTTGCTAATAATAAAGATTCTCATTCAATTAAAATTCCAATACTCATAAAAAAAAATATGAAAGTATTATTCAAAAATCTTTACCATCTGATAGTTCAAGTGATGTTGTCGATAATTTTATTGTCTTAATCTGTTTGCATGGATTTTTGCAGCCATCAATTTATCAAAAGTATGATAGGTATGAAGCATTATCATTGGCACTTGATCAAAAAGTCATGTAATAAGTGTCTATCTGGTAATAACGAATTGCATAAGATATCTGTCATCAAATCGGAAGTTGAATCAATCATGAATGTGTTCTTTTTACAGCTTGATCAATCCAATGAACAATGATTGTCGTTTTCAATCGCATGTGCATCGGCATGGAAAAAACTTGAAATGTGGAATGAAACTGCATGGATCAACAAAGACGATTCTTATGACAATGAGGATGACAAATATTTTTAATATCAACCAGCATTTACTCATTTGATTAGCGAAGAAAACTTAGATGAAATGATGAAGAATATTCATTCACAGCGAATATCACATCGAAAATTATTGTTCTTGCTGAATATTCTACCACAATTTCTACAACGATTGTATTATCATACGATCATCTCACCAACTAATAATACTAATTCATTGTCACTAGTTTTGTTCTTGTCTCAATGTTTAATCCATTTGGAACACTTTGAAGAAATTGATTTTAATATCTATCACGCCTTGCTAATGTTGTATCCTTTATTGAAAGAACACATGTTGGAAAACTATGCTTTAATATTTTACAAAGAAAAATGTTCTTGGTTGACGTCAACTATAGACAAAGATTGTAATAAGTTATTGAAAGCAATACAAAATTGTAAACTACTTGATCCGTTTCTTATTGATCCACCAGAGGATTTGACAATACTCATCAACATGGGAATGTCATCGTATTCGTCAAGCAAAAGATTCAATTCAAAATCAACAGAAATATTTGCGACTTTTTGCTGCATCCATCTCCTTTACTAGACTTTTACAAGCTCAACACCGTTGTCCTATATACCATCCGATAAATACTATTTTTATCGATTCTACGGAGAGAAAAGTAGTATGCCTTGCAATAACCAATATACTTGATCAAATTTTAAAAATCATTGCTTTAAGCTTCATAGCAGATATGAAAGATCCTCTAATCTTTGATGAAGAACAAAAAGATCAATTACAATCTGAAATGACTACTGAATTACAGTCTCTACTACCACATGTCTCATTACTAACAGCGACTATTTTATTTATTCGATGTTATAAATTATGTTCTCAACAAATGGTTAATATAATCGCTGAAAAATTTAATGATGAATCACTTAACAAACAAAGTCAAATTGTAGAAGCAGTATTCATTACATTGAGACAACTCAAGAATTCAAATCTTTCACATTGTTTATCAGAGTTTGCTAAACGAAAAGACAATTTATCAGATCTACTTCAATTGAATTCAACGATATTCTTTTGCTATTTTAATAAAACAACATCATTTGGCTCATCGAATAATATTCTTCTATCTTTGATGTATCTGTTTGCATTGACTTTTGATACTGAAATTCTCAGAATTTATGTAAGAAATGATAAAAAAAAATGATATTTTACCTTTGCAAAAGCTAAAACAATTTTGAAATGAATCGTCAAAAGATAAGAAAATTATGACATACAAAGTTGCAATATGGATTACGAATAATTTGCAAATGTTAAATAAACAAGATCTTTATCAGATTATACAAGATATGTCCAAATGCTTAACGATTGAAAAAAAAAGCTCTTGTAGTAATTGAAAAATGACTCGACTATCAAATGGATAATGTTTTGAAGGTTTTTGCACACTATGCTGCATTACAATTGTTTATTGAAGGTTTAAATATTCCAGATTTGATGGACATCATCAAAGATATGTTTAATATTGATGATAAATTTATTTGGGAACCAATTGTAGAAAACTTGATTAGCTCTTGACTTATTAATTCAAATGTTATTCGTCAAATTTTAATCATATTGCATGAAAATGTTCATTGTTAGTCGACCTTTTCTATTTTGATTTCTTGTAAAGAAATATTTGAATTATTTCTCAATTTAGAACTGTAAAGAGTTATTTCAAATGAACGTGAATCATCTAACGTTTCATTTCGTTCATTTTTTTCAATGATTAGTGCTTGTTATCCAGATTTGAAACTTTATCTTATAAAAAATTTTCGCTTATATTTAAATTTCCAGTCTGAATTCGAAAATGCTATCAAAGATGAATATTTTGCTGTTATTGTCAAATGGATGAATAAAAATTTAACTCAGTTTAATGATGATGATTTTTTGATTGATTTATACAAATACATTGTTACATTCCAAGATATTAAACAATTTCGTCTAGTTTGCAAAGTAATTATCAATGCTCTTAATAGAAGATATCGTCATTTTTTAACAGAAAACGAGAGGATGCTTTTACAAGATGATATAATTATTCAGTTAGAGAAAATGATTTATTCTTCGTACACATATTCAGAAGATATTTTAACTATTTGTTTATTGGCTTATGGCAATTGTTTAATTCAGTTACACAAATTTGAAATGAGTCGAAATGTATCAGATGAGATGAAAAATATTCTTACTATTATTTCTGAAAGATCATCATCAGAAATGATTTCTATCAGATCGAATTTCTGTTTATTGTTCACCGAATCATCTTCAGATATAACCTGTCTGACAATACTGAAATGGTTTAGAAACAAGTCAAATATAACATCTGAAAAGCGATACAAGATAATGTTACAACAAATATTATATCACATCAAGATTTCATCACGTACTGCATTTATAGATGAAATAATTGATAACTTAAAAACACATTCTACTAAGCTTATTGATTTGTTTGTCATTGATCTATACAATTATTTGTGTGATATAGATAAACTTGATTATGTTTCTGATTCTACACCTAGTTATATCGGCATAGCAGGAAACATCAGTAGCAGAGATCCGAATGGGCTGGGCTGGGCCGAAGAAAGTCAACCCATGGGTTATCGACCTTTGGCACAGCCCACCCATGGGTGACCCATCTAGTTCAACATTTTTTCATGGAATAGTTTAACTTGCTATATTCGTCAAAGTTATGTATGATCGCTAACTATTCTTTTATTTTATCATTTTTAATAGTAGTGTACGTCGATGGATGTTATTTCAGGAGAAGTTTGACCTGGTCAAATGCATACTGTTTTTGTCTACGATAGGAATCGGTAGAATGGCAGGTGATAATAGAAATTTATAATTGAGAAAGATCAGTAGGAATAGAAGTAGGTTTAAAAAAGGTGATTGATGATGATGCAGCGGTTTGTGAAAGAAAAATCGACGGAATTATATTGTGTTGAATAAAAACAAAGTATTACAATGTGAAATAAAAGAACTAAACAAGATTTTTCGAGGGAAGAAATATCACAGTGACAATAGGCGATGTTTCCGGAGAAATGTTGTTTTTAATCGAGGTCGAACTTCGGCCCATGGGCTATCATCAACCCATGGGCCAAAGCTCGTAGCCCATGGGTACCCATAAAAAAATTGGATCGGCCCAGCCCACCCATGGGTTTTTTCTCAAAAAAAGAATCCATGTTACAGTGAAACATTAATAAATCATTATGCAAATTTTGGTATACTCACAATCGACTTAGTTGAAATGTGCGAAGAGTATAGAGATAATGTTTTTTTTTGGCATTGAGCAAGGTCCAAATTTGAGCAATCTCAAAGAGGTTGATCGAAGCGCGATTGATGAATTGTATCAAGTTTTAGATTTAAAGGTGTATGATAGAAAATTCAAAAGTTCTTTATGGATATTGAAATATCTTGCCAAGAATCATATTATATCTTTGTTGGAAGCGCACCAAAGGATTCCACTGATCAATAATATTTTAGATTACAATGACAATCAGCTTTGGAAGAGTGAAGAATATATTTTTGACTTACTATTGAACACTAGTTGTTTTAATGAAGGAGTTTTTTCCGATTTTAATAAAATAGTTTTTACTAAGAATGATATTGATGAAGAATTCGAAAAAGTAATTGATTTTCTTGACAAGAAGTTATTTCTCTTTGTCAGAAGCAATAATTTCCGATCATTTTTTGAATAGTTTCAACTAAGAAAATCATTTTGTATTTCTATCAGATTCTTGCACCATCACATGTTTTTTTTTCTATACTACATGTCATTATGATTAAGAATATTATCAACTTCAACATTTTATCTCTATCCAATATATTTCTTTTTATTGTCAAGATCTTTTGTTTTGTTATGGTATTTTCATTTTGAATTTTCTTTATTTTATCCATGAAAATTTTGTTTATGTTTAATAAATCTTCATTTCGAAAACTTAAAGAGGGTATGGGTATGGTTGCCGATCTTGGCCTCCATCAACTCCCACACCCACCTCAATTGTAATGTACAGTGTATCTCAGTATTTTAATTGCTTTGAAACTAAAAAGAGTTCTTTGCAAAAATGAAGTACATAGTTTTGTAGAGCTAATCAATTAATCAGATTCATAATGATTCACGAGTTATTTCATTATTTTATTTGCTTATAATTTTATCTACCTCCAATATTCCATTGAGATCATTATAAGTATAGAAAATTTGTCGAGTGTGCATGTGAATACTGCTTGCATCCATATCCACACCCTCTTGAGTATGTTGTAAAACTATCTTACAATTCATTGCATAAAAAGTTAGTAAAGTCACATGACTGGTAGAAAATATCGACTAATTCCCCATATGTGAAATTAATCGCACGATTAAAGAGAAGAAACTATGAAATGAAATTTTCTTAGCTTTGATGCATAAACTATTTATTTATGTAGTCTGAGCGAAATTAGCACATGCAGACGGATATACAAAGATTTCTCTATCATCACGATAAATATAAAGGTATCTTAACATGAACACAGAATGCAAAAGAAACTAGTGAAGCGATAAAAAATGTAGTTTGTTTTCCATTCTTTTTTGGTAATATAATCTTCACAACTTTCAATACTTAGTCATGCCAAAACGAAAATAGGGTGTGGGTGTTGGCAAATAATTAAATCACAGACACATCCTCGCTGAGAAATTTTGACTATGAAACCATTTTTGAAGCTAGTGAGAAATGGTTTTGTACGAAACCGTATTTGTACAAAACTTGAAAAAGGTTTCAATTTTGTTGCAAAACTCGGAACCTTTTTTAAGTTCCGTATGGTACCATTTTTTTTCAGTATCACACCCCCACTCACACCCACACTCCGTATGGGTTTGGGTGTTGATGAATAGAAACTCACACCGACATCCAAACCCACACCCATAATAAATAATACATAAAGAAGGTGAATATTTCATTGAGCATATTATTTATTTTTAATGTAGTTACATGTATTATTTGGATGAATTCCGATTCTCAATTCTTCTTGAGTAAACAGACACTCGGGTGACAATAAAGTATTTCAACGGATTTGTATTTTTGCAACTATTGAGTCTACTGACATTTATTTGCAAAAGTCATCGGATAAATATCTCATTTCCGAAAGAAAAACACTTTCGAGATTGATGTTGCTTGCTGCAATAGACCACAGAATAAATCATATAGGAAATAATAGTTCTGTAGACGGTAGCTACCACAACTTACTTAATATAATAATAGATTTTATTATCTTAAATTTTTCAATCAAAAGTAAAGCAAAGTTTGTGATATTGAAATAAGAGAAAAACGTGGAATGGCGGAAAAAAGCGAAAGAAGTGATAATCTTGTTTATGAATCATA